CAAGATGAGCCTGAGGAAAGCAGTGGACCCCAGGAGGAAAAACCGGCCAAGGCTCATGTAGCTTCCATTTCCTGTGGGATCCCTCGTGCCGTTTCTTCCTGCTTGCGCTTTTCCAAGCCAAGTTTTTGTTCGGCGAGGTGGCGCCGCTGCCGTTAAGGGGCCCGGAGAAGCGGCCCTTCAACCCGGCCCGGGCCCCTGCCGGAAGGGCCAAGGCGTGGTTGGAAGGCGATGGCTGCAACATGAAGAGATCTCCAGTCCATCCATGGGACACGAGGGAAAAACCCACTACCGCGTCAGGATCTTGCGGATTGACTTTTTGAAACATTCAACGGAGAAGAATGCAAGAGGGTTGTCGTCGGCCTCACTCTGTATGTGTGGTGCAGCCTCCCCTGGTCGGTATACTTGTCCAAACGCCAGGCGGGGGGGGGGGTGAGGTTGGGCTTGACTTGGCACAAATCTGAGAAGTGGTTGGCTCCACATCTGGCGGGGCCCCATGTTCGGGCTTGAGGCTTCGGCCCGGGAAGATTGGGATGGTCTCAGGTCGGTGTGATGCGCTACTCGTACGGGGAGGGCAAAATGAAGATCGAGTGGCTTTGCCACGAGGCTGGGCTGTTGGAAGGCTTCCAGATGCCTGCAAATCTGAGGTGCGACTTGCGAGTCGAATAAAAGTCAATTCAACATGGCGGGCTGGCAGACGAATTCTTGAGCATGCCGCTGTTTTAGCATATTGTATGACGTACAAGAGCGTGCTGCTGTCAGAGGTCCATTGAATTCAATGGCCAGCTCCACTCTGCCAACGCAAGCATGCTCCAGTGTGAACATTGCAGTGTTGCTCGTTGCCTTGTGGGGCATGTGCCGCTCAAATGCCTAACGCTCCCTTAGCTTGTGTTGCCAGACCAATGCTAAGGGATGCTTGGGGTGCGTGTTTATCACTTTCTTCTGCGTGTTTTTCCCTTTGTGAGCTGTTTAGCATGTTTTCGGTTTTCCCTTTTGGCCCCAAACGCAGACACTTGCTGCACCCTCAGCCCCGAGGCTGACCTGGAGCCTGCCGAGTGGATGAAGCTGGGGTGTCTCCGTCAGGAGGGGGAGGCAGGACATCTTCTTGATTGACCATACTTTTGAACTTGTCATAGCAAGTTCATTGAGCGGCGGGGTGGTGGGGGGAAACGAGCTCATCCATAATGAAGGTGCTTTACTGTCTCTCATTTCTAGTGGGAATAGGCCAACTTCAGAACCTGGTACGTGGGAGAATACATGTTTACAGCCTGAAGTAGTTCGAGCATCTCTTCAAGTGCTCAGTAGGCCTACCCAAAGAATCCCAATCCAACTTTACAGGGCCCCAGTGTCCATACACCGATCGTTTCGAGAGTGCTTGAAACAAGAAGTCTTCGGATGACGGCTTTGGGAGGCCCACCAACCCTCCAAATTGTCTTGAGCCACGTGCTCAAAACCTGGAGAGATGAAGGTTAGCAAGGGACAATCCCAGCCAGAAACAGCTTCGGCCGCCCTTGAATTTCCTTACATGGTTCTGGGTCAACAAGTTTTATACCGGGGTTTCATTGTGACTCACTTTGCATGACAAGTGGCAAAAGTTCTCAACGTAGACCCAGGTGTCAGGTCATAGCTGGTTCAGGTCTGTGCGTGTTTTTGTTCGAGCCTGAACGGTTTAAGACAGTCGACAAACGCAGTTATCAACATTGAATTTGGCCGCTGTTTGACTCCCCAAAGTTGCAATTCATCCCTCTCTCCCGCTCTCTCTCTCTCTCATGGTTTGTGTGTGTATGGGACCCTTGTGGAAGTTTGACGAAGTCGTGCAAAGTTGATGGAAGCACCATTAGGGTTGCACAACCTACGTCACTGAACAGTACTACTAATGCTTCTGTTACTGTATGTTGTCCAATTTTGAACCGACACCTGAGTGAGATGAAGTGTAGTCCCTTCGTCATAATGATAAAGGGCCCCCTATTGTTTTTGCAAACATATTCCAGACTTCCAAGCAAATCCAGGTCTGGGAATGCCAAATTGCAACCTTGTGACCCCAACTCGTGTGTTTCCCCAGCTCCTGTGTCTTCTCGTGAAACATGGCTCCCTAAAACTGCTTTCCCTCTCAGGGCTGCTCTCCTTCCCACTGCTCTTGCATGCCCTTGCCTCCCTCACAAAAGGAGCCCTCCCTCCCTCAAAAACCTGCTCAACCCCAGTTCTCGGGCGCCCGCCGGGCGCTCGCCATGTACGCGCGCCTCCCATTTTGCTTGACACGCGCCAAAGCTCCCTGTTGCGTGCTTCGTTTCGAAGCCCCTGCTGCGCGCTCCTGCTCATGCCCAACCAAAAACCACGTTCTTTTTGGGAGCCCTTCTTGCGTGCCGAGCTATCTTTGCCTCCCTCACCACGCCTTTTTTTGCCGTTGCCGTTGCCCCTGCCTGCCCCCGTTGCGTGGCCCACACGGTGGATTTTGGAGCGGCGCCCCTCCCCACACTGGCTCCAGCTCCCCCAAGGTGCACTCCGCCAGGTGCAACTCTCCGACTTTGCCATGCCTCAATGGCCCGGGCAGCAGCCTGGAGCTTGGAGCACCAAAAGTATTTTACCGGATTGAACCCATTGGTTCTTGTTTGCTTTACAGCAAACCAAAGCTTAGCCAGATGTTCTGCCCAACCCTTGTTGTTCTTGTTTTCTTTCCAACAGCAAGCCAAAGCTTAGCCAGATGTTCTTTCCAACAAACCCTTTTTGTTCTTGTCTTATTTCCACCAGCAAACCAAAGTTGGAGAAGCAACGAATTCGGTTTGGCCATACCTCCATTCGATTTAACACTCAGACTAGAACCTGCCTAACCCCTCAGACATTGCCTCGGATCCCTTCACGTCCTTGCTTCGTGGATGCTTTTTGTGTGTTTAGCATTTGAACTCGTCTTGTGCCACAGAGGCTCTGCTCTAGCAAAGCTGTGTGGGGGCTAGGATCGCATAGGCATTCCGCGTCGGCCGTTCCAAGCAAATCTTGCGTAGGCAAGGTTTTTGTAGGCGTGTTGTTGCCATATTTACCCCCGAAGAATAGTTGTAACAATGTGCGTAAGCGCTCGCGCAGGCGCATTTTGGCGAAGCAGACGTGCCTCCAATGTATGTTTTTAACTGAACTTGGCGCTGGTGTCAGGCGGCTTTGTAGTTTCACCATCGAATTCCACCTGTCCATATCCACCACAAAACATGGAGGCCTGGAATGTCTGGGCGGTCTATCTCCTTCGCTAACTCGCAGCGCACATGATGAGCTCCAACAGATGGTGTGTTTCAAATGTGGAGTTGCCAAAACGCCCTTGAGATTACGAATGGCCATGTACCCTTAGGAGTGTTAGACCATGATAACCCATACATCCAGGCCCCAATCCCCCAGTGAACACAGGAATGGCGGCTGACGAGTGGACTTGAGTTTGGCTGAGGTAGCTTTCCGCAAGGAACTGCCATCAGTCATGCAAAACTTGAAGCCCTGCGATTGCTGTTTGCGGTTCCCGGAGCAATCCAGGCTCACTAAGAAGCCAAACATCCTTTTTGGTTGGGACAGTGAGGCAAGTGGGTTGATGTTGGAAGGAGAAAGATATGGACCCCTCACACGAAGCGCTTCGTTATGGCACGCCCCCTGGCCCATCGTGCTGGCGAGGTTGGCGACTTTTGGCCGTGGCAGGGTGAAGGTGCGGGGGCTATTATCAAACAATCCATGTATCCAATATTTACACACACGTACCCTCCAAATGGGTCGAATGTTGGTATATATTACCTACATGGATTGTCTGAGTATTATCAAAATCACCCTCTTTGGGGTTCAAGTTGGAATCTCTGGGACATCCTTCTTTTGTTCTCAACAGTGGAACCAGTCACCGGGATCCTCTTTAGTGAGAATCCTGGAATTCTGGGTGGGACTTGGACTTGCAAGTACTTACTGTAGTACTCCCGTTGTGTTTTTGTCGAACTTGCTTTTCCATATTCTATTGAAGAGGACCCCACAACGGTCACAGGATCCTGAATTAGGAAACGACTGTCTACAATGGAGGCCCCAATTTCCAAAGGAGATCCGACATTAATTGCAGAAAGCCTCTGCTGGCTTTGACTAGCCCGCAGATTCATCAAGATAATGGACAAAGGGACGATTATTGTCAAGTTTCTGTCGCTGCAAACACCTTCCAGTTGCTTGCGTTGTTGTCCCTCCTTTGTAGGTGTGTATGTATTTAATGATATGTAACGTGATTAATTGTTTAGAAAGCCCTTGTGCAGAACTGCACAGCATTTCTTGCTTTCTGTGTGCCCAATCTGCATTCAGGTTTCCGTGGTTCCTTTGTTCAATCAGGCCAGCGTACGTGTCTACCATCTTCGGTTTGGTCATGTCCTTCTTGCAGCAAACTGCAAGTTTGGCCAATGCCAGATGTCTTTAACAAAAATAAAAATGTCACTGAATATCATGACTCAACATGGAATGGGACATGTTTGTACGGAGATTACATGACTTGCATGCATGTGCTGGCGTCACCACAACGAAGATTCCTTCTGGATGAATGTATCAACTCTTGTGCACGCTGGCACACTGGCTGGTCCCTTATTGAAGGCCGGTTTTTTCTGCAAGTGGCTGCTGTTCATCGTTCCGGTGAAAGGATCGACTGTTGTTTCAAAGTGCTAATTCCACTTTCATGGACCTTTTTGTAAACAATGCCATCAAAGGATCCCAAAGTCTCATACCCCACTTCAAACCGAGGTTTGCCCCGCCCCTTCCCAGGTCTGGTGAGCCCATAGAGTTCTGCGTTGATGAAGCGCTGGCCTCCAATGGGCCATTCCCATGAGTATCCGGAGTGGACATAAACCCCCGAACCGTGGGGCTCGAAATCCCCACAAATCCCGCTGGCGTTGTTTCGGTCAGGGATTTCTTTTTTGGATGTCAGGCGCCATCCGCGCCAAAAGAGAATCGCCACACAAGCGGCGTCGGGCGTCGCTCCATCCGCGCAACAAGTCGCCCAACAAAAACGCGCCATGGCGTCGTTCCTTCCGCTCGGTCAGGTGCGCACCGCGGGGGGCTCCGATGGCCCCAGCATCGGGGGCGGCCTGCGACTGCAGAGGCGCCAGGCGAGGCTGGCGTGCGGGCCGAAAGCGGGGGGACGGCTGACGGGTTTTGTATGGGGACCTCTGAGGAGATAAGGACCATTTTTCCAACAGGGAGCTTCCCAAAAAGGGTTCCTTGATTGGCAGGCGCAGTCCAGCCTGATCTTCATGTTTCTTTTGAGTGATTGTTGCTTCTGTGGCTGTCGCATCCCAAGTTAAGGCTGTCGCTGCATCATGTTGGATCTAGTCCCCAGTTGCCTGGCTGTTTGCTGCCCAAGGTGGCAACGTCACCTAAAAGGAAGAGCTTTCAAACTTCCGAAGCTGGACCCAGTGGCCCAGTGGTGCTCGTGTTTTTCTTTTTTTTGGGACGGGGTCCCCTTTAAAGTAAAACAAGCAAAAAAACTGCCCTTTTTTCCCCATGGCCACCGGCCATCTGAGTGGAACGAATTGAGCGTGTTTAGCGAATGAAAATACAGTCGCTCGTGAAATAGCTACTACCAACCCTCTCCGCGCTCCAAAACTCGTCGGTGGTTTTGTTTTGTTCACTTTGCTCCACCATTGAATTGTGAGCCCTTTGCGGACTTGCTGGGGTCGACCTTCAACCACGCGTTGCGTTTTGCAATTTGACTTTCGCGGGCGGAGGGAAAGGAAGAGGGAGAGAGAAGGGAACGAAGAAGTGCGCCAGACGAGAGTTGCAGTTTTTTTTGCGCCTGCCCTCGGCTCCGGTGAAATGAATCTCCTAATACAGCTCACGGGATGGAAGGCGCGCAACCAGCCTGAAGGGAATCGGCTGCGCAACCCTTTCCGATGGAGGTGAGAAGGAACCTTTTCGAGAGGCCAGTCTTCCAGAACCCTGTCAGCTTCCAGCGTCGGACAGAGGCGAACAGCAATGGCAACGGGGGCAACTGCGACTGGTTAAGAAGCGGGGAAAGATTCGAAAATCCAGCCATTGTTGACAGAGACTGAGATGAAGCCGGCCACCGCGACAAAACAGACCACCGGACTTCAACCAGAGATAGTTCCGTCTATGTCTGAAGAAGTCGAGCCGATGCGCTTGTCAGGTGTTGGATCGCGCCGGTGGCTCAGGCTTCAGCGTGGAACAGAGGGAGCTCACGGTCTGTTCAGTGCAGGATTCCTTCAGGACTCTGCTCGTCCATTTCTGCGTGTGTTTTGTTGAGGGTGCACTACCCAGATCAGGGTTGTTTGAAGGGACACCAAAAGGAGAACCAGCATTTTGGGGTTTCCCTTCGCGGGGCAAATTTGGTCCATCGCTCCACGAGTTGTTGTGGGCTCCCTGAGGAGATGTGTTCCGGAGAATTTTCCGAGCGGCCAACTTTCTCTCCGGCCGAGCAAATAGGCTGGGGGGCCCCAAGGCCATTCATCCACATGTCTCCCTTCGGCTTTCGGCTCCGAGTAGCCAACCCCTCATGGCAACTTGACGAATTACTTTCCAAGGCCGGGCAGCTACAAGTCTTGGAGTCCGGAGGCCCAAGCCATCGAAAGCACAGAGCCAGCTTCGGACAGATCGCTTGGAGTTCGAAGAGTTCCGGACATACATGGGTGTTTCCTTGACATCTGACGCTTTCAAGTACTAGTCAGCCTCCAGACGGCCTCAGTTTTCCATGCGGGCTAGATGCGTTGCATCGGCTGCCTTCATTAGTGCCGGCTGAACGGAGTAGTTTAGCGCCAAGGATCCTGCCATGGGGGAGAGTTGAAGCATCATTGACATTCCTCATTGCCTTGTGAACCCCACCCCTTTTCCAGCACGTGCAGTCCGCCGCGGCTGAACACACTGCGAGCAGACGTATGCAAAGGACAAATTGCACGGCTATAGCACGACATTTTTGCCGAGCAGGCTTCTTTCGTCAAACGCTGAAGCTGTACGGCAATGTCTGATAGAAGTGCAGGCGTGAATGTATGGTAAGCCTGTTTGTGTGTTTCAATTGATAATTAGAGTTGCTGTTCATCGTAGAAGTTCATTTCTGCGTGCAGCACACAATCGCATTTGACCTAGAAGGCGGATTTAATAGCAGGGTCGCCCATGATAGGGTTTTGACGTCACACGTTGACTGCAATTGCTATTCGAGCTCACCATGTGCTATGTCTGTGGCCGCTTTGCATCCCGGACTGCCCTTTGCCTGAGCTGAGGCGCTGCTTCACATGCACTCCACAGGAGTTTGTGGATAAGATGGATCATCAAGTGGGCAAGGTCGGGAAGATGACAGCTTCCGGCCGACGCCGTTCGGTCAGTGTTCAAGTTGGAGCCAAAAAGATAGAGGACAACTGGGTGAATATGTATATATATATAGATAGATATATATATATATATATATATACATATTATATATATATGGTTTATGGCCCTTGGCACATCTCTGATTGCTCGACGGCTCTCTTGTTCCATGTCTCGATATTTTGCCCCAAAGCCTTACATGGCTTACAAAATGGTGGGACCTCAAAAAAGAAGTGGTTTTATGTGCTTTGCTTTCCTTTTCATCAACCTCAAAAAGGGTGCCCTCAACAAGCGCACACGCACACACACACACACACACACACACACACACACACACACACACACACACACACACACACACACACACACACACACACACACACACACACGCACGCACACACGCACACACACCTGCCCGCTTGCGCGCACGCACGCCCCTACCCCTGCACCCACCTGCCCGCCCACCCACCCGCCCACGCAGCCACCCATCCACCCAGCCGCTCACCCGCCCGCCCCACCCGCCCGCCCGCCCGCCCGCCCACCCACCCACCCACGCACCCACCCACCCCAGCCCACCCACACAAACAACATACGGACACACACACACACACAAACACATTTTGTGCGGTGGGAGGTGCATGAGTACAAACTTGCCATGGACGCCATCGCTTTAGATAATTATTGCCATGAAAGAAAGCCAGCCTGCCAAAGGATGTTTGACCACTGCCTTAAGACAATGCAGTCAATTTTCAAATCCCCGGCGAGGGCCACACACGAATCTGCAAGCATGCCCATGTGTCTCGCCATCAGAACGATTCGTCTCAAGCATTCTGGGAATGGAATCATGCGAGCAGGTTGCCTGTGAAAGTGCTGATGGCCTTAGTCATGCGGTTTCACCTGCCTTTGTTGCCTGCCGAGATGTGTTCATTGCGGCGCACTTGAATGGGTCCGAGCCAAATATGGTGGCCACGTTCCAGAACGACACAGATACCATTGGTGGAGTGTTGGGAACATCCGCACACATCGCATGCTCTCTCTAGCAACAAGCCATGGGGGTGGGGGCACATGTCGATGTCATGAGGAATGAGTTGGCTGGCTGTTTTCAAGGCAAAGCGCGGTGCTAAATAGCTCTTGAGGTCGAATTTCCCTGAACAACAAAAGGGGATGGATAATTGTTGTCTAAGCCGCCAACAGAAGGGTGTTTGGCCAATATTCCTGTAGCTGGTTTCTTCGATTTTCTTTCTTCAGACCCTGTCAATGTGGGTGACTCAGTGAATAAGGCCCTCCAAGCAGTTCAAAGAGACCCAATAGAAAAGCGGTAAAACAATTTGGGGCTCAGATTGGCCTCCCCCAAGTTTAGTGTTGGTTTAGTTTTAGTCTTCTATCGGTTTAGTATTGCTGCGTGCTGGCTTATTACTCGCTTAGTATTGGTTTGTATTGATTTGTATCGGAACATAGCCAGATTTGCTTTCCCGGACCAAACCAAGATCCTGCATTAGGTACCCCATTTTCACTTTTCGGACAGGACATACTGTGGGTGGACCAAATCCTACACCACTTTAAAAATCCCTGGCATGATGATTCCCTGGTAAATACCAACCAACAATGGTTTCCCATGGTTTCCAAGTGGTGCGAAACGGATTTCGTCTACCCACAGTAGTTCGTGTCAAACGTTGGCAGCCTTTGAATCGGGCGACCGTACCCCGCATCCCGCAGGCCAGCGTTGAGGCGGATGGGTCCCATATTTGGCGCCAGCCCGGCAGCCTGCGACTCAGTTCGGTTGGTTGCGACTCTCGGGTTCGAAGGTTTTGGTCAATCCAAATGTCAGGAGTGTTTTTTGTTTGCTTTTTTGACATGAGAAGTAGTTGCAAGCCCCTTCCTGTTTATTTTGTTCATGTTTTCCTTTTTTTTAATGTATTTATTTATTTATTTATTTATTTATTCATTTATTCATTGTTTTCTCAAACAAACGACATGAGAAGTGGTTGCAAGTCCCACCTGATTTGTGTTTGACAGAGAAGTGGTTGCCAGTCCCACCTGATCCCTCTGGTTCCCAATGCTGTGTTGTTCAAAATCACCTCGCGAGATGCCTGTGCCAAATGATCCTGGTTTTCCTTGTTGTAGTGCTGTCCCACTGATGAGCCAGGATTTGAAGCCTTGCTCCGCGACAAAGAAGTATCTTTAAAGAGCCATTCGGGCCTTTTCAACTGAGGTCTTTGCAGTGAAATGTTTTGGTTCTTCAAGGCTACATCACATCTACAAGAAGCAGGCTGAGAGTATGACCAGAACAAAGGAATTGTCTGGAGTTGGTTTCATGATCAGGGCACTGATCCATTGTGCTGAGGCCTCTGTCTTGTGGGAACAAATTGGGAAAAGCTGTGAAGAAAGGTTGGGAACATGTTGGGGCAAAGTTGGGAAAAGTTGGGAGAAGCTTTGGACAAAGTTGGGAAAAGGTTGGGAAAAAGTTCGGGAAAGAAGTTCGGGGACAAAGTTGAGAAAAGGTTGGGCGCAAGTTGGGAACAGGTTGGGAACAAGTTGGGAAAAGGTTGGGTCAAGTTTGGGAGTCGTTGAGAACAGGGAAAAGCTTGGGACAAGTTGGGAAGCGCTTGGAAAACAGTTGGGAAACGGTTGCGAACAAGTTGGGATGAGGATCAGTTCTGCAAAGACTTTTTCTGATATGAGTGGAAAAGCAGCTGCTGTGAGGGCCTTGCAGGGCTGGCACTGTCCGTTTTGTTTTGGGGGGGCCAGCTCTTTGTAGGGATTTTCCAGGGTTGTTAAGGATTATCTAGCTTTTCGTGGGGATTGTACAGCTTCTTGTGGTATTCTCTGGTTTGTTGTGCCCAAAAACAGTTTTCAAAAACGACCTTTCTTGAAGCGGTATCCTTGGCTATGACAATAGGGCTCAACATGTTTTTTTGAAATTGCAGAGTGCAAGCCTTTTGCAGGTTGTGCGACTGATGACAATACACACACACACACACCTCGTCGTGGGCCGTTTTGCAGGGCATGAATCGGCCATTTGGGCAGCTTGACCTTGTTGTCTTGTCGGTTTGGTGGGTTTCTGGTCAAGGTCTCAACAGGTTGTCCTTCTATTGCCAGGTCCTTTGGGAAGGGAGCCACAATGAACATCCGCGTGAAGGTTGTGAGACCAGCCCCAATCAAGTGCAAAAATATCCACGCTTTTGCTTCTGCGTTGGTTTGGGTGGACCCGTTCAATACTTGGTTTCCATAGTGTCTTAAGTGAGCAAAGACTTGGAACATCTCAGGCCACTCCCATATCGGTTTCTTGTCTAAGATTATTCCAACCCCAAACCACTAACTCCAAAGAAGTACTTCCGGTGGAAAACGGCGTATCTACCCTTTGAATTTCATGGCAGTATCTCCTATTAAAGTTGCTGGGTAGTGGTTTTGGGATAGTGGAAACCATTTTAGAGCTGCAGGAGTATCGGCATGCGATTCCAGACTTTACGCGCCTCCACTCTTTGGGTCGATATCTGTGTCAGTTGTGTGTTGGTTGCTCTGATGGTTTGAGATTTGAGAAGGTTTGGTTGTTTTGATGGTTTTGGAGTTTTATTGGTTGGTTGTTTTGACGGTTTTAGCATGGTTTTACCTAGAACTGTGCGCAATTACCTCTAGTCGGACCAGGATGTAAGAATCGTCAGGTGTGTCTCGCAAGCAAGAACCAATGACTTTTTGACACATGTGTGCCGAGACGACGCCCGCATTGTCATGTACCCTGACGACAAGTGCATCAAGGCAACAAGGGCTGACTTGGCGGATGAACATGGATGCCACATGGGGTGGCAAAGCTAAGCACGCAAGCGGGTTTCACCTCTGATTGGCTGTTTGCTTGGCTGTAGCTTCCATGCCATGTACGAACATACTGGGAGACCAATGAGACTTTACACAGCAGAGACCAATGAAAGGATGCACAACTTGGGCTCTTGGGTTGCATCAGGCGAATCGTTAGCCATGTAGGAGGCCATTGAGCGCTTGTTGTATCTCGGTTGAGAATTCCAAAGCAAATCCATCCTTGCGCGGGTCCCCCTAGTTTGACACACACACACACACGTCAAGTCTTGTTTTTTGTGGGCTTTGGGCTTGCTGTGGACTCGGTCTCATCATGGCTATTTGTGAAACTGGAGGAAGGACCTTCCAGGGGGCATTGAGGGCAAATGGCTGAGTACTGCTTTCAGCTCAAGTAGAAGCTAGTAACGAAGCTAGTATCATAATATCAACTTGATGATCATGCTGCAGATTGAATTGCTACTGAGATTAGTTGCGGTTGATCTTGCCATGTCCTTTTCAGTTCGATACAACCATTGTGACTGTTGTTTACTAGGGAACTGTCTTTCTTGTAGGGTCAATTGACCCTTGTGAAGCGCGCGAGAGCAGTTTGTCGCTGGGGCCTTCCCAGCGTTCAAAGAGCAAGCGAAAATTAAGGATCTGTTTTGGCAAGGTTCTTGAAGGGACGCCAAAAGGCAGTTGGGCACACATTTTTGGTCGAGGCTTGGTACTTTGGGTGTGTTTTGACGGGAAACCAACGGGAACACCAACCACCTAGAAGAGATCCCCAGTCTGAACATGCATGGCTTAATACGCCGGAAGGTGCCCTTGTTAAGGTTACTTCACGTGTCCATAGGTACCTTCCGGTATCTTCTCTGACTGATTTACATTTCCATGTTCACACAACATGGACCAAACTTAACAAATAGCTGCTGGATGCGGGGGGCAAAAGCCGAGGCAGTCATAGTATTTCAGGCAAGTCCGGTGATTCATTGGCGCCCTCTTAGCTTGTGTTATTTTCCGGGCGTCAGGTCTTCGGCCGTCCGGGCCAAGTCCGATCTTTGGTGATGATCATCGCTCCGCACACGGAGGCGAACCAATGGGCCGTGTGGTTGTCGGTTTTGGTTTTGAGAAAGGTGTCAAAACTCAGTGGTTCCCAGATGTTCCCAGCCATCCGGTTCCTTAGCCTTTTAGCTTTTTAGTGGTGCTCAAACCATGTGAGCCAGCCCTGGCTGGTACCGTCCCTGCCTCTTAACATGGCATCTGACATGTGAATAGTTCCTGAAGAAAAAGAGTTGAGTTGAAGCTTCAAGGAAGCCGAAGCCCCCCATGTAAGACACACCCATATGGGTGGCAGTGATTTCGTGTGAAACTGTTTGGACCTTTGAACGGCAGGCAAGTGCGAAATTCTCAGCTGTGATTTGCGCATCCCCTTCTTTAACACCAAACGTGCTGACCATTGTATCGAGTCTGGAGCTTGTTTCAAGCGAAACGTGCACCTATGCACTTGAGTGCTGAGCAGCTGCACGCCGCCAAACTGGGCCTTCAAGAGGAAAGCGCCCAGATTTTATCCCCGACTTTGTATCGGGCAGAGACCTTTTCTTTGTGTTGTTCGACTCACGGGCAACCCACAAAGGGCAATGGACAAGGCAAGCGTCAGCTGTACATAGGTGTGTTTACGTTTTGCTTGAAACAAGCTCCAGACTCGATACTGTGGACAGCACGTTTGATGTCAAAGGAGGGGATGATGCGCAAATCACAGCCGAGCTCAACGTATGCTTCCTCAAGATGCTAATGGTTCACTGAATAACACCGGCCACCCCCGCCCCGAAACATTTTTGGCGAACCCAATTGACAATCGCGGGGGAGAGGTCCCCTCCAAGTAGTCTCTGTGTACGTAGTTGTTCTTATTGGTTTAGTGTTGGTGTATTATTGCAAAGCGCTGCTCTAGTGCTGGTTTAGTATTGTTTTAGGATTGGTTTAGCATGGCCTTGTGCTGAATTAGTAGTGTCTTGGTATTGGTTGAGGATTGGTTTGTATTGC